GAGTATGGTTTTAATTTCAACTCGATACCTTCATGGCATTCCCGAGATAAAGGGTCTTGACAGACAGAGGAACAGACAACAAAGTGATCCTTTTAAGGGTTCCGTTTTCTCCTTTTGAGGTACGGAACCCTAAAAAATAAAAAGGTCGCCGTTTTTGGACTGTATTTTATAGTTTTAGAGAAAAATCTTTTCTAGAACACAGGTAATATTAATAATATATAGTAAAAGTATGCCAAAAACTATTAACTTTAGGTATAATAGCTGAAAGCAGCTCAGAAAAATAATATTAATAGACAATCATTTCTGTGTAAGGTGACCCATTGTCGTGTCTTTTACACTAAAGAGGTACAAAAGAGGTACAAAGATACGGATTTCACACTACTATGTTCCTTTTTTATGAACGAAAAATGCTGGAGACAGATTTCTCCTAGCTGTCTTACTTCCTGAAATACAGGGTGAATACAATCAGCGATATAACTCGTATCTCGGTTATCATATAACTTATCGAAAAGGTGAAAACAGTGTACCATAGTGTTTGTTACGTAGAATTCAGTGGCGTTACTACTTGTTAATACTACTCTCCATAAAATTTTACATGTAAAATGAAAGTTTTTCATTTCAAAAATCTTCATTTCATAGCCATCGCTGACGTCGTTTCTTTTTCGATCATATGGCCACTTACTTTCATAAACAAGTTAAAAAAAAAACATAATTATTTAACTTTTTAATGTAAGCGGTCGTAACATTTTGCAATGCAAAGCCAAATTTTGGTTATTGGTAATTAATTGGCTGATAAATAATGCATTTTTTACCTCTCTTATGAAAATAAGTCTTATATTGTATTTTTAGAAAGCTCAGAACAAAATAATGAAAATAAAAGTGTAATATACAGGGTGTCCCATTTAAAAACAGAAGTTCCAGTCATATTTCGAAAATGACAGCTCCCAGCGAAAAACTAGTTACGTCATTGATTTAACGTGAAAAACTCTACGGAACACAATTTTACCGTTTTCATAATTTATAAGATAACCAAGATACGGCGGGGTCAAAAAACTAAGAAGGCTAGAATAAAATAGGACGCCTTGCTAAAAACTTTCGTGTTTTACAGGGTTTCTCGTTTATGAGTGGATTTAAAATAAGGTAAAATGCATTATTTAACTTTTTAGCATAAAACGATCTAGTTAAAAAGAGTATTATTTAATTTAATTTAAATTTTCATCGTGTTATCTTAATAAACTGCACTGAAAATGAATTTGTGCAGTTTTTAGATAACATGGCTGTCAATCAAAAATTAAAAATAAGCATAAAGCATATTTATATTTTTGAAAGGCTCATAGCAAGACAAATAAAATAAAGAAATAGTATATAGAGTGCCCCATTTAAAAAAATATATTTCAAGAATGAGAGCTAAGCGAAAACTAGTTACGCCACTGAATTCTACCTGAGAAGCTCCATAGAACTCAGTTTTTACCTTCCTGATGAGATAACCGAAATACGTGAAGAGTCGAAAAATGCAGCAACTGCGCTGGATTTCAGAAACTAAGAGGGCTAGGACAAATCTGCGTGTAACATCTTTAGTTTAATAAAAAAAAAGGAGCATAGTGATGTGAAAACCGCATTTTTGTATCTCTACTCAAATATAAGAAACCTCCTTAAACGCACAAGAATGGGGCACCCTGTATATACATAATTGAGTGAAACGGTAGAGTTTTTTTGTGAAGGTTATGCCTACCCTCTCTCTTTAGAACTCAGGAGCCGTTACTGATATAAACTAAAATATGAATATAATCCAACAAACAAGTAGTCTTCTAGGCAGATATAAAGAGTGGTCCGAATTATATTCGGAAAACTTCGGCAGTATATTCTGTAGATAAAAATATGTAAAAAAGTTCGTATATATTTATGTCCTAAAATGCAATGTTTCGGAGATACAGGGTGTAGAAGATTATTTTTTTTTCATTATTACTTTTTTTGTAGGGGTCGCCACCTGCATATTTTTGGGTGTTCCGAAGAGTAGTAACTTTTTGTCCATATCTCTATTACATTACTGAGTGAAAAAAAAATACTGTCATTTTTTACGTAAAAAATGTTTCTTGGTAAAAATCGCTACGAGTAATCATTATTCTCAATATATTCAGAATCCAAATGGTCAATACATGTTATAACTGACAAAACTTATACTTGTTTACTGGATAAATATTAATAAACAAATTTGGAATTAGAGACTGTTTTGTCGTATTTTATTCTAAAAAAATTCTTGATTGGCATAAAAAAAATAAAAGAAATCTGACATTTGTCATTTCAGTCAAATGACTTGAGGCATGTTTATGACTGAGACATGTTTATTTTTGTCAATGTATTGACTATTTCCATCCTATTATTCCATATTATTCTATATGTTACGGATAATACGCGAAATTAGCTAATTCGCGAATTAACCGGTTAAAACGCGAATTATATAAAAGTGATGGATAAAACCCGAATCTGTCTTAGTTTCGCGTATTATCCACCGCAAACAGGTTAAAACGCGAATTACCCCAGAGCAACCGTATAAAACGATTCTTGTGTTCTTAATTTTTTAAAATGGCAGTTACTAAAAATATGTTAATACCGACTATTTAAACAGTGATGATTATACTAATATAATTATTGAATGTGTTAAGCAGGCAAAAAATACAGTCTCCAAAACTTCTCAACAATATCGTAGTTTATAATGTTATGATGTGTGTACCATAGGCTATCAGGACTACTTAACTATGGTTGTACAATTGAGACTAAAATCGAAAACAGCTAATGAAGTGGCCTCAACCAGACTAGATATATTTTATATATTCGCTGCACCACTGGTCCTTCACGTTTATAGAGTAAATGGTATTTGTATTTTTTTGTAAATAAAAGTATATGTAATAAAATTGCCTCTCATTTCTTGCTCACGCCTATGAATGTGATATTAATTGTTCGCTTAACATATTATCCGGCCAATTCGCGAAATAGCCAAGTGTTCACAGGATATAACAGGTCATATTGTATAATTGGTGTTCTAACCGGATAATTTGCGAACATTTTTAAAATATATTTGTTTCTTTTAGATTTAACCGACTGTGATGATTAATTCGCATTTTAACCGGTTAATTCACGAATTAGTTAATTTCGCGTATCACCCGTAACATATTATATTCCATTCGTAACGGGTACACGTAGAAAATTTTACCAAGAGACGTTTTTTACGTAGAAAATTACAGAAATATATATTTTTTCGGTAATTATTGGGAAAACTGGAAATCGTCAGATTTTCACTAAAATTGGTATACACCCTATTTTGAGGTCGTAGATTACAAATCTTTTTTCTTGGCGGTCTCTTACCATTTTTCAGAAAAACGGAAAATTATTTCAACATAGAATTTTTCTTAATTTCTCATATTTTTAAGGTTTTCTAGCACATGTTTTGTTAGGTATTCAATAAACAATGATGTTATTGCTATTTTCTGTTACTTTTTTAATCAATTCTATGCATAATAGAGGAAAATTTACTAAAATAAATTTGTAAACAATCTGAAAATGTTGGGTTATGTGTTTCTGGCATTTAAAGCAACGTTGCCAATGCTAAACCTAAATTTAGCGTGTTTTTTTCGCTCATTCTGGGATTACGAAATGCGGTCGCGGAGGGTGTTCCCTTCCATGCGGAGGGTGTTAATCTTTTGTTATATCAAAAAAAGATTAACCCCCTCCGCAAAGAAGTTAAAACCAATGCAATCAAAACTCTTTCGTGCAACTTCGTGGTTATAAATATTCTTTATATAACTTCTTTGCGGGGGGGGGGGGTTAATCTTTTTTTGATATAATATAACAACAAAAGATTAACACCCTCCGCATGGAAGTTGTAACCAATGCAATCAAAACACTTTCGTGCAACTTCGTGGTTATAAATAAAACAAAAAAAAAAGATTAACCCCCTCCGCATGGAAGTTGAAACCAATGCAATCAAAACTCTTCCGCGTAACTTTGTGGATATAGGTAGGTATATTTAATTATTGTTGATCTCATAATAGGTAATTTATTTAAAATCCCTAATCATCCGAAAAAATTGAAGATATGGCAACGTTGTAAATTTTCAAATTTCTAGATTAGGTCTTGAATATATTTGTCTCTCTCCTTACATAGGAGAGAGAAAGAAGGATATATCAAATATGAAACTTCCATCTGGTCACAATTTTCTTTGTTAAGAAAAATGTTTTTCAGTAAAATTTTGGACATTTTTCTATCCCCAATCAAGTGGCTTTTAGATAAACTATAATATAATGAAAATATAGTGAAATTATTACTTTATAGGGCCGAAATAAAGAAAAATTCAATGTTGAAATCTTCTTCCGTTTTTCTGAAAAACGGTAAGAGACCGCCAAGAAAAAAGTTCAGATTCGTAATCTATGACCTCAAAATAGTGTGTATACCAATTTTGGTGAAAATCGGACGATTTCCAGTTTTCCCAATAATTACCATTTTTTCACTCAATAGTTTTATAATTTATACAAGTACGGACGAAAAGTTATTACTCCGCAAATCGGTTAAAAACATGTAGGTAGCGCCCCTTATAAGTAGAATTAAAAAAAAACTAAACGCCAATTTTTATGGAGGTTAGTTTAGAAATTACTTGGAAAAAATCGAAACAAAAATGAAACTTCCACAACATGTAGTAGATCTCCGAAAATAAACATTTTAGGATATAAATTTATACAAACTTTTTTACTTATTTTTACCTGCAGAATATGCCGCCGAAGTTTCCCAAATACATTTCGGACCACCCTGTATAGGTTACCGATGCTCAGGGAAGTAGTTTATTCATTTATAATTGAATATTATTCAGAAATACGAAAATAGTATAATGAGCGTGCCTATTCTACAACGAACATAACATTGGTCAGGTAACAACACAACCATAGATAACAGATCCAATCATCACAATAAGAAAATTAACCGTAACCGTAACTTCATAGCATTTTTACCAGCCGCCTTCGCACTGTTTTCAATAAACCGCTCTCCGACTGACACCACAAACACTCGCGTCGGGATTCGGTGAACACGACTGAAAGTACTCGCACTGTCTTTTTCTATTACAGGAAACGAATGCTAACGGATCTTCTTTCAGTACCCGTGTAGCCTAGGCGAACGAACTTGGTGCGATATGGATTTACAGGGCCGTATTCTGTTTGATTCCAGTACCTCTTATTTAACTTGGCAGCGTTTGGTTTGGTTTGGTGATATACCATACGATCGAAAAAAAGGCGTCAAAGATGGCTGTGGAATGAAATTGATGATAATTTTGGCGAGATCAATCTCTAGAGTAATTTACTTGGCCCGTACACTTGTTCATTTTTCAATGGCGCTTGACCTTAAGAAGGTTGTATGTGTTATTTTTATGTTGGGTAATTATGATTTTTTTTTTTGAATTGGGTAGTTTAAAATTCGAGATAAAGTAATTTTTTGAAAATAGATTTGTGTGTCTGGAAACTATAACATTTCTGTAAATTTATCATATCAGCCAAATAAGTATACCGGGTGAGCCTTAAAAGTGGCTCACCTCTATAACTCTTTTAATTTTTTAGGTAAGAAAAAAGAGATTTGGTATGTTAGTATATGACATAAATTAGGATTGATTAGCGTTTTTATTTGTTTTTGGTCACTTCCTGTTTTACAGGAAAAGACTACAACTTTTGATTTTTAAGTAGCACTCTCTGTTAATTTTTAGTATAGCATATGATATGTCAGCTTTTGACATTTTCGCTTAAAAAATAATGTATTTTAAATTTCAATCTAGAGTGCCATGGCTGTGTTAAAAAAAACACTAATTTTTAATCAAGAAGCCTTGGAAAAATAGATTTGATCGCTTAATGTTAAAAGATGCCTAAATCGTATATTTAATCATATCTCATTTTTTTCAAATGGAACAAGGGTGGCTCATTAGTATATTTGGAAAAAACACTTTTTTACGAATAATTTGATATTTCAAATTCGGAGTCAAATTGTCGTTATGAACTGAAATAAACTATATGCGAAAATGTCAAAAGTTGACATATGATATGTCATTCTAGTCAGAGTGTCATTTTTTATCGAATAAAGTTAAAACATACCGAAGGTGTGATTTAAAAATCAAAAGTTGTAGTCATTTTCGGTGAAACAGGAAGTGACCAAGAATAATTTAATTCGTCAATCAATCCTAATTTATGTCATATATTAATATACCAAATCTGTTTTTTTTATCCAAAAAAGTAAAAAAACTATAGGGGTGAGCTTTTGAGACGCACCTGGTATATCTACTCAATATATTTTTATTTTTTGTCAATAATGAGGTGTATTGACTATTTCCATTCCAAATATCTTGAAAACGGTTGCTAGTAACGCTTTCTATCAAGACATTTTTTACGTAGAAAATTAAGGAAATGTATCTTTTTTCACTCAGTAGTTATATACAGGTACGCACGAAAACTTATGACCCTTAAAATCAGATAAAAAACATGTAGGTGGCGCCCCCTACAAGAAGGAGTCATATTGACATCGAAATCAAATTTCTCATGTCAAGAAAGACCCTGATACCAATTTTCATCCAAATATCGTTAATTCAGAAACTATTTGGAAAATACCGAAATTAAAATGAAACTTTTACACCCTGTATCTCCGAAACGAAGAATTTTAGTTTATTTAAATAATGTTTATACGAACTTTTTTACTTTCTTATTAATTTTAGAGTTTCCCGAATAAAATTCGGACCTCCTGTATAATAAGCAAGTGTGTCTTTGTACGAATAATTGAGGAAAAAGAATTATTTTTCCTCGACTTTTCGGGAGGAAATGTTCGACATTCGAGGAAAAATACGACATCCTTCAATGCAAGTTTCTAGTCTCGGTATAATCCCTTCGGGCCTTAGAAGGACACGCTCTCGACCTCTTGGCCTTTTCCAGAGAATACACAATAAATTAACAATACTTCTCAAGGCACTGGTATATAAGCACATTCGAAAAGAATTTCCATAGATCTTATTAGAGAAAATTCAACAAAATCAGAAAAGTGAACTATGAAAGATAGATATCATTTTTGTATAGACATAGATTAGCAAAACGGTTAATTTCACTGTAAAAAATGTATTTTTCCACTGCTACAAAAAACATATCCTTATAAAATATTTCAACATCGTTCTTTTCCTTTATTAAAACTTTTGGCTGTTTTCCTTTATATCCAATTGATTTGCTTTTGAGGAATGCTACAAATTTGAAGAATTGCCTCAAGTTGTTTATTTTCTTTAATGTTTAATGTTAATATTGTCGACAGAGATTGGTTGGAAATATAATCTGACATTTACTGAAAGTACATATTCTGCGATGATAATCGTTATATTATGGATATCACGAAAATATATTTTTATAAAAAAAAACTTTTGAGTTGTTGTTTATATTAAAATAAGATTCACAATTCCTGTCTCATATAAATAATTTCGCGCATTTAACATCTAAAAATGTTCCTAATATTATAAAAAATGAGTATACAGTATGTCCCCGGATTATCTTTAGAAGAGGAAAAACATTTTTGAGAGAAGTTCATCCTTCATAAAAAATTTTGCTTGTTCTAAAATGGTTAATCTCGGTTATACTTTTCAAAAAGTCCTAAAAAACAAAACGCGTTTCTATGGTAATATAGTTTTGATTTAATTCTTTGATAGATTGTTATTAAAAAAAATATACGACGGCCTCCCCATAAGAGCAATGAGAGGATTTACGTCCCAGTATTGAAGAACAGAAAATCGAGTCGAATGGTTTCAAGACATAAGTTCATCCTTGTTTAGTCAAACCTCCTACAACACAAGGATAGACTTATGTAAGATATGTATTGAAATTCTGTTCCCATTCTCTTCCAAACTTCTGTGCAAAAGTTAAAGGAAGAGTACGTTTGATATTAACATACTAAATACCGAATGATCGAAAAAAAAACGGCGTCAAAGACTGCTGGGAATAACAATCGAATATAATTTTGGAGAGGTCTATTTCTAGAGGTCGTTTATTAAAAATTGACATAAAACTTGTCAAAAACTAATACTAATTATAGAAAAATTATAAAACGATAGAACGTTTCCAGAAACACAAATCGATATCCAAAAAATTTTTTTTCGAATTTATACTACACCATTTTTAAAAATCAAATACAACCTTGAGGCCTATTACTGCCAGTATAAGTGCCATTAAAAAATAAACAAGAGTAGGGGTCATGACATATCACCTCGCCAAAATTATCATCGATTGTCATTTTTGACGCCGTTTTTTTTTCGATGGTATCATTTTTGTGGTAATAGAGGAATGCATTTTTTTGTTTATTAAGACTAAAAAAATTATATAATTTAAAAGATGAATGCGTCTTTGTTTGATATGTTTTATAAAGCATTACTTATTTTTTGTTTGGCAATTTCTAATGAAAGGTTAATTATTTATTCATTACAAGGTCCCGATTATACGCGAAGAAACTGATCCAGAAATAAATAAATATTTTTAAAATTTTCTTTTGTTTAACAAAAATCTTTTTGTTATTGTTGTTATATAGTAATATTTTTATACATAATATAAAATTGCAATTAGTCACGACAGTTTTAAAATACTCTCATTTTCCACCGTTGCTTCAATCAAAATAATATCCATTAATTCACATAAATGTTTTATAAAAGTCGTCTTCGGCTCGTATTCATTGAATGCTTGATGGATTATATTACTACTGGAGCAATTTACAGACATTACTATGGAAATGTGCCTATCATAATATTTCAATTAGTTATTTTCGTATAGAAGTTATTGGAGTGTAAAAGTAGTCATTTTCAAAATTTGAAGAGCCATCGAGCACAACAATATATCGTATCCAAAAATCATATTTACGGGAATATAATATTAAATTATATTTATATTACAATCAAAGTAACTACGCCACTGGCACACATTCTCAAGATCTCTGAACAGCATTGCCATTCTCTCGGGAATCCTTTATGACTGCGATCAGCCCATCTTGTTCCCACTCGCATAGAACTAGAAACGAATGTCTGATTCTGATCTTTTTCTTTTTATGAATGAAACGCCGGGTCTACTTTATTTAGAGGTCATTGGTTATTTCAATAATCGAGTTATCCCAGCACTACTTAAAATATGTTATTTTATTTCATTTATCACCCGACTAATTTTGAAACAAAAGAAATATATTAATACTATAATAATTTAAAGATATAAATAATTTTGTTTAAAGTCTGTATAACAAGAAAATATACAAGGTGAGTCTTAAATAAGTGCAAATATTTTCGGGGCTGGTAGATCTCGATAAAAGATTCATATTTTGTCTTTAACGTTTTTCAAATCCAAACCTAAAGCCTAAAATAACCAAGGTATTCAATTGTGAAAATAAAAAAAAATATATTGAATTTTTTCTATTGAAATATTTCCTGATTGATTTTAAATCATGTTTAATTTGGAATCTACGTATTTTTCTCCACTGGAACAAGAAACTAAACATATAATAGTTATTTTTTATACAAGACGATAAAATGGTATTTTATCGTCGACCGAAAAGATTAATTCACGAGCGATGAAATCGCGAGTGAATTAATTTCGGGAGACGATAATGCAATTTTATCGTCGTGTATAAAACAATATTTTTTTCCATAGCGAGTTACGTTTTAAAAAATATTCAGAAATTATTATTTCAAGGAATTTATTACGAGTAGAAAAAATATTGTGCTGGGTTGGCGTTGGTTTCTATGTAATTTGACAAATAAATAAAGCTGTCTCTTTAGTTGTCAGTTTTGAGTCAATATTTTTTAATTCTCTTTCGTGTCGATTGCTGATTGAATCAGAGCTAGAAATGGCTCAAAACGAAATAAGTAAGTTACCAACAGATATTCAGGCTGGGGCGACAAAAGCCATATCCAAACTACTTCCATTTAAATCCCGAATAACTTATAAAAAGGGATACAAAAATTTTCAAAAATGGAAGCAATTAAAAAACGTGCGAGAAGAAATAAAGTTTTTATCCTATCCTCGCTGTTAAAGTATCATTTTTAATCTACCCTTACAGTTAAAGTACTATTTTCTACTATTTTTGACAGACATAAGGCAAGTTTAACAGTTGCTGTGGAAAAAAATAAAAAAACACATAAAATTTATATTTTTTAACGCCGCGACCGACGCTCTAAAGGCCCATCTCTACTTTCCCATTCGCTTACCACTTTTTCGGTCGTTACTACTTTCGTGGCGCGTGCCGCGGCCTTGAATTTCTACTCCCGTCGCGCGTAAAGAAGTTTCACTTTAAAAATAATAAATTATTTTATTATCAAGCGAAACTGAAGTATTTCTTTTACTCTTAGAAAATTTGGTAAATACGATTCTGTATTACATAGACGACTCGACTCGCTATGGTGAATTAAACATTTTTTAGACATTGAGCTTCATTAATATTAAAATATATTTCGTAGATCATGGTCAAGGTTATGTAGCTTGGATGTACCGTTTTATATTTTCGCCTTATTTAAACCGATACATTATAGTGTTGTTTATTTTTTATATTGAAACCTATTTGCTTCCTCTTCTTAGGTTTTCTTAATATTCTACAGAGTGTTAGAAAAATGCACTGCCAGATTTCAGTGAATGATTCCTCATCAAAAAAAAAATGGAAAAAAAAAACTCCTATAAACATGGGTCCGAAAATGCGTAGATTTTAAGATACAGGGGTGTAACTAAATAGCGATCGGTAGCGATGAAGAATACTGTCGCTTGCCGTTTAGTTTCTATGGCCAAAGATAGTATTTCTTCATGGCTACCAGAGATATAGAGATAGTTATGTCTATATCTCTGATCGCTACCGATCGCTGTTTAGTTACAGAGTTCTACACCAGGATGTTAAGCTTTAAAGAAAAAATGTTTTTTTTTCTAATAAGTCATATAGGTATTTCGCCACTTGCACTCTAAGAAAATCTAGAAAATAAAATAGTTATTATATCAAGTTAAACATCCAAATTAACATTTTACTACCTGCTAACAATTACTTAATGAGGTAAAACAAAAATACCTCAAACTTTCTGTATATGATTATTTTTAATTGTTTTTAATGCTTCACTTATATGTTGTGTTCATTAAAAGCAAAGAAGTAATACGCGGTTTTCAATTTAAGATTAGGAATAATATTTGCAACAAAATTTGTAATAACATCAAAATCAGTCAACGTCGCAGTTTTTGAGATATTCGGTGTTTCCGTAGTCCGTTTTTGAGAAAATCCGTGTGGAGAACTCCAAACTCCCATCGAACGCGATCCCAGGTGGCGGATAGGGGAAATAACCGCGGACCAAAATTGGAAAAATTCCTTTACTTTGAAACTAAAAAACTGCCTAAAAACTTTTTATTAACATATTTTAGTATGGGCGGCTATACGTGCCTCTCGGCGCCAATTTTTTGTAATAATTTTTGCGTTAAAATTTACTCTTTGCCATGTGAACCATACATGCTGACAAATCATGTATGGTTATCGCTTCTTTGATATCAGGTATGGTTATCGCTTCTCTGATTTTAATGAACATAACATAAATAAACACAGCATAAGTAAAACATCTTTTCAGTGGTTTTTTTTTGTAGTAAAACAAATTTGTTTTTTTTTTGTTTCAAAAGGTTTTTATATTCATATGAAGGAGATTCAAAAGCAAAAAATACAAAGAAAAAAGAAAATCCTATTTAAGATACGTAAATGGAACTATCCCAGAACACTTTAGTTTTAGCAAAAATGCGTATTCCTATTATTTTGTAGATTTTCGTATTTTTAGACGTGTTTTTTCTCAGTAAATAGAGCTTGTTTATGACGTTTTTTTTTATAAAGAACGAAACATATATTTATTTTTCTCATAAAATCAATAATAAAGTGCTATATTATTCCCTTCCTTCTTTCGATCCGTTACTAGAGGCGTTTCCTGAAAACATTTATTTAGACAAAAATATACAGGGTTGTTCACCACATGCGACATGGAGTATTGTAGCTAAACGATTAGATTTTTACAAATTGTAAGTTTTCGATTCGTTGAAAAACCATTAGAGCTACAATTCAAAATAATTTTACAAGATACAGAGTGTCCCAAATAAGTAAAAAATATCTTAGTTGTATTTTTTTAAATAAAACACCCTGTATATTATTCTATTTTTAAATTCTACGATTGAAATAAAGGCAAATTTTATTAAGGTTTATTACACTTAAACCTTATCGTTTTTGAAATATTTTTAATTTTGTGAAATTGCAGTAAAAAAAATTAAGGCTTTATTTTTCTCCAAGGGTATCAAAGTTTTTAATACTAAATATTTACTGAAGATTATTTATTGATCAGATATTGTGTTGCAATAATAAAAATTATACTACCTTATACAGAGTGTCCAAAAATTGATATTAAATAATTACCAGTTTTAAACGACAATAACTTCTTTAATTTAAATAGAACACCCTGTATATTTACGTGAATCAGATGCACAATTTAATTGTCTATCAAATTGTATTACACCAGTTTTTACCTATCTCCGAGCCTATCTCTTTAAGTTTTCGTAGAAAATGCATTTTCTTATTATTTAGACCTCATTTATCGCTATACCCCATGGAATATTAACATTTTAGATTTTTTTAAAGCAACGTATGTGCAAAATTTACAGGTGGTAAAAATAATAATTATGTAAGACCATTTGTTTACAAAAAGTAAAGTTTTTAAATCTTTGTAAAAGAGTATACCAATTAAATATACCATTATTATTTCCGTCCAAAAATTATTTAATTACGTACTTAATTGTTTTAATTAATAAATTATTTAAATAAATGTGGATTTGACTCAGAAATCAATATAAAGTGTCTGTTGTAAATAAGCATTCGTCAAAAAATGAAATAAAATTTTTAAGGTGTTACTTTTTACCAAACTGTCTAATACAAATACCAAATTCAGTTTTTTAGTATTTGAAGCAATTATTATTAATCAACGTGAACAGTCAATTAATGTAGTTTGAATACTGGGATCATATTAATTGGTTCTCTTTAACAAAAAATATTAAAACAGTTTTTTATTTTATTTTTTAATGAAACAAACATATATGCATATGGATAATATTAGCTGTGATATTAGTATCTGTACTGTTTAAAAATATGTTACATCTTTAAAAATAATCTAAAATGTTAATATTCCAAGAGTATAGTGACAAATGAGGTCTAAATTATAAAAACATACATTTTCTACGAAAACTTAAAGAGATAGGTAAAAAATGGTATAATACAATTTAATAGACAATTAAATTGTGCATCTGATTCTCGTAAAATATACAGGGTGTTTTATTTAAATTAAACAAGTTATTGCCGTTTAAAGCAAGTAATTAATTAATATAAATTTTTAGACACTCTGTATAATGTAGTATTTTGTTTATTATTGCAACACAATATCTGATCAATAAATAATCTTCAGTAAATATTTAGTATAAAAATCTTTGATACCATTGGAGAAACGAAGCCTTAAAATTTTTACTACAATTTGACAAAATTAAATATATTTCAAAAACTGTACGGTTTAAGTGTGATAAACCTTAATTAAATTTACCTTTATTTCAATCGTAGAATCTAAAAATAGAATAATATACAGGGTCTTCCATTTAAAAAAAATACAACTATAATATTTTTTACTTATTTGGGACATTGTAACAATATTTTTAAATTGTAGCTCTAAAAGTCCTTCAATGAACCCAAAACTTAAAATTTGTAAAAATCTAATCGTTAGCTACAATACTCCGTGTCATATGTGGTGAACAACCCTGTATGTAAGTATATCAAAATTGAATACCATTTTATACATTTTTAGCTAAGATTATGTTAATAAATATTTTTTTTTTTGTTTTCAGGAGAATTGTTAAAGGATGCAGATACACGTGATATAGTAGCCATTAAAGTACTCAAAGATTCTGCTACCAAAGAAGCAGAAGAGGATTTCTTTAGAGAAGTTGAAATAATGAGTGCATTTCAACATAGAAATATATTATCTTTTGTGGGTGTTGTACCTAGAGGTAAATATTGTATTTAGACATTTCCTGTAAAATAAACAGAAAAAAAAAATAGAACGAATGATTTACAGGGTGGATCAAATTCGACGCTTTTAAAGGGAAACACCCTTTTCTATAGGAGATAGACGAAAACTGATATCGGTGTCTGGAGCTCAACTTTTATCAAAAACATGATGGTGAAAACCGCATATTGATATCTGTTACCGTTTCGAAGTTACGGGGTGTTTTCAAAAATGTGCATTTTTAACAAATCGCTGTAACTTTTTTGTTATGGAAAATTTTCTATTTTTATGAAAACATTTCCAAAGCACCTTTTTACGCAGAAGTTAATGATTTAAGTATAATTTTTTTAAAGTTAATAATTTAAGAGTTATTAACAGAAAAATTTATTTTTTATTAGGGACTCCCTGTATATTTTTAACTAAATGAAAAGAACATAAAATTACCTTTCCAAAAATATAGCACACTTGATATTTTGTTATAATCATCTTTGAAATACAGAATTATTAAAAGTTCGGCACTTTTAACTAGTAGGCTTTGGACCCCTTGTCGATGATCTGCCCCTAATGGAACTCGAAAACATATTTTTCAAGCAAGACGAGGACTACCACGTTCCACCGCCTCAGAACGAGAAGTGTCTAGCCCCAGCAGGCAACTATTAAGCTTGACCAATCAGATTGGTTAGCGTGGTTATTTGGAGGATGTTAATTCATTTGTGTTTGGTCAAAAACTCTAACGTGATTGGTTGGGCTTAATAGTTGCCTGCTGGGGCTAGACATAAGTCTCAGAACGCTGAAGTTATCAGGTAACTTTTGCGGCCAATTTCGAGAATAATTGATTAGCTAACCAAGATCCCTCTTTGCGATATTGCGATTTGCGATATTGGTTAATAACTATAAAGAAAGATTAATAACTAAGAAGAGGACTTGGATCTTTCGACGAATTTATAGATAAACTAGAAGACATTTTGTCATATATAACTTTAAAGTATGTAATTTTTAAAATAGTTGTTGCTGGCGATTTCAATTTGAATCTCTTGCAAGCGAATTTAAAAAACAAGATTTTCCTTAACCTGTTACTGGCAAATAATCTTCATCAAACAATTTTTGAAAAAACTAGAGAAGTAAGAGATTCATCTTCGCTTATTGATAATATATTTGTAAATTTTGTAGATTTCAATTCTAAAGTTGTAGATACATCTTTGTCTGATCATTTTGCTCAATGTCTTAACATGATAGTTAATGATATAAAGACTAAGCACAAATGCCAACATAAATTTAAAAAATCTTTTTCAAAAAATCGTGTTGAAAGTTTTAGAGACGAATATAGAATACGACCAGAATAGATTGGTCGCCCGTTTACTCTTCAATTTTGCCTGACGACGCCTACAATTGTTTTTTGAACATTTTCACAACTCTCTCTGACAGAATATTTGTAACAAAAAAATATAATACAACTCCTAAATCAAGATGCTGGATTACAAGAGGAATAAAGATATCATGTCGACACAAGCGCGTCTTATACTTTAAAAAACTTACAGGGCAAGTCAGCATTAAATATTACAACAAGTATTGTTATATATTAAAAAACGTTATTAAAGAAGCAAAAATAATGTCTAATCGAAATTTTATTTACAATGCTAAAAAAAACCAGAGCAACTTGGCAAATAGTTAATAATATTGTTAATAATAATAATGTGAGTAGTAGCTTATTTCACAGTTTTTCGGGCAAATATGACAGCCCTTATGCAGCTGTAAGTTCGTTTAACAAATATTTTGTCAATTTGTGTCCCGATATTGATGCTCATAAGGTTGAAAATCTGCCACGTAACAATAAACTATCACAATCATTTTTTTTAATACCTACCGATAAACAGGAAGTCTTTAACACTATTCAAAATTTAAAAAATAAAAAATCTGTTGGTGATGACGAAATCCCCATATCGGCTTTAAAAAAAGTGGCAGATATTGTATCAGAACCTTTAGCGCACATTATTAATGCATGTTTTGTTTCGGGAGTTTTTCCGACTAAATTGAAAAACGCTTATATTAGACCTATTTTTAAAAAAGGTGAAAAAGATGAAATGAAAAACTATAGACCCATATCTCTGTTAACTGGTATTAGTAAAGTTTTTGAATATGTTATACATATTAGGCTAACAAATTTCTTAGAGAGGAATGCAGTATTATCTGATCAGCAGTATAGTTTCAGGAAGGGAATGTCGACAATTCGGGGCTTGTATCAAGCGCTCTCTTTTGCCATTGACTCGCTTAACAATAAGAATCAGACACTTGTAATGTGCCTGGACCTTTCCAGAGCTTTCGACAGTGTAGATCACAATATTTTGCTGAATAGGTTGGATGGGTATGGTATTCGAGGAAGGGCTTTAGAACTGATGAAGTCATACTTGTGTGGGCGAACACAGCAGGTTATTGACTTTGATTTGAATGGCAGAAAAATAATAGTTTCTAACAAGGTAATCATTGAAAAGGGGGTGCCGCAAGGTTCAATATTGGGTCCACTTCTTTATATACTGTATACAAATGAGGTGCCCCACATTATTCAGGAACAAACAGTATTATGTGCTGATGATACGACTGTGCTTTTCAGTGCAAGTGATGTCCTTTCACTCTCAACCAGAGTCCCATTGGCTGTGTCCGATTTGTCGAAGTATTTTCACTCTATTGGACTATCTCTCAATATATCCAATACACAGTGTATGTTATTTAGCAATCGATACTCAATTCCCTTTATCCTCCAGCACGAGCAACAGGAAATATGTTCAGTAAATAGCGTTTCATTTCTTGGTTTAACGATCGATAGACGTTTGGATTGGCTTCACCATATTGAAGTACTGGCATCTAAAACTTAAGTAATATCGGGGTCCGTGGGGATCGATGCTGCTATGTCAGCTTACTATGCTTTTATCTATTCCAGATTTAAGTATGGTATTATTTTTTGGGGCAACTCCACGGGGGTGGAAGGAATATTGCGAATACAGAAAAAATGCTTACGTAGTATCTTCGGATTGAGTCAGCAAGAAAGCTGCAGGGAGATTTTTGTTGAACATAACGTTCTTACAGTTGTTTCCATGTATATTTTGGAGGCTGTGGTGTTTGTCCTGGAAAACTGGAATTTATTTGGACACCGTAGGCTCGAACATGAATATGATACTAGACACAGATTACAGCTGGTTTCGGATAAATATAATTTCAGCTATCTTCAAAAAAATATAGATTACTCTCTAATATAAATATTCAATTCCCTTCCGGAAAATTTTACCTTGTCTATGACTAAAAACAAAGTTAAAAAATGCTTAAACATCCTTTTGTGCAGAGGAGCTTTTTATTCCCTCGCGGAATTTCTAAACAGTGATAAGAGCGCCTTGTGTCATATTTAACATCGATTGTATATTGTTGTAAAAACAACCACACCCGTATGTTTTTACTTTTGTTTTGTATCATTTGATCTAAATTTGTTATTTATTGTAAGTATAATTTTGTGTTGTTATCTGTCTATACATACATAGATTTAATTCATTATTAGTATTATTTTCATAAAATATTTAATTTTAATATTACTATTTATTTTTGTTCATATAGTTCATTTTTTGTTGAAATATGCAGTTATTTTCTTTTAAAATTTTTTACTGACATTGTTTCCATGCCCTTTTTTGGGTTTCTTTTTGTATTATACAATAAAGAAATAAATAAAGCATTATCTATCTATCTATCTATTTATCTATACTACAATAAACTACTTAGCGGTTATGCGAGGCTATCTTTCACACCCATTGAGTTAATGAGTGCATTTTTAACACTATTGTCTGTGAATTGTCTATGAAAGACGGTCAACATGTCGTAGTCAACACCTGTTGGAAAATCTCATGTCTTGGTTTGTTATTAATTTTTATTGTTATTAGATATAGCTTTAATGTGTTTATGTTGTTAAATATAGTTTAAATTCTTATAAAATTCAAAATCTCTCATTGCAAATATTATTTTCGTTTTAATTGCTGCCCAGAGCTACAATTTTTTTGCATTACAGCCGGCGCGGTTCAAAGCCTACTTCGAGGCCTATACTTATTCAAAGTGGGCGAATTTTTAAAAACTCTATATCTCGAAGAGGAATCGAGCAAAATATCAAGTGTGCTATATTTTTGGAAAGGTAAATTATTTTCAATGAATTAAAAATATACAGGGTGTCCCATATAAAAAATAAAATTTTCTGTTGATAATTCTTAAATTATTCATTTAAAAAAAAATATACTTAAACCATCAAATTCTACGTAAAAAGGTGCTTTGGAAATGTTTTCATAAAAATACAAAATTTCCCATAGCAAAAGAGTGATAGTGATTTGTTAAAAATGCACATTTTTGAAAAACACCCAGTAACTCATAAACGGTAACAGATATCGACGTGCGGTTGCATCACAGACATCACGTTTTTGATAAAAAATGAGCTCCAGACACCGATATTAGTTTTCGTCTATCTCCTGTAAAAAAGGGTGTTTCCCTTTAAAAGGGTCCAATTTGACCCACCCTGTACCTTGTAAAATGTAGAGTGAGTGTGAGAGGGGTTAATAAGCCCGACCTTGAAGATGTATTTATTGTCTATGGTGTCCCCCTTTTTGGAGTTATAACTCTTCACACAGTCTATAAATAACTCATCATGCTTGGGGACTTTCCTGTTGTACGGGGGCCAGGGCTTTTCCTTCCTCCTCTGACAACAGATACTCTTCCTCCAAGGAGCAGACGTCTACCTCCTACGAGGGTATACACTCGGGTATACACCCTTTCACGGTTGGGGTTTGGCCCTCCGTGCCCTTCGCAGTCCACGAGCTTGTCTCCGGCTGAGATTCTCCATCTCTTTAACTTTGTCTCACCTGCTACTGGCACCAGCTACTGAAAACTAGCTTTTATGATGTGAAAATTAGCTTTTATTGCGATTTAGCAAAAATTCATTTATAGAATAAAATGGATTGACTTCCAAATAAGATTTGATAAATGAGCTTATGTACAGGGTGGCCCCTCTCATACGCCACGGAAGCTCCAAGGAGAACGGTAGTTTTTATCGAAATGAAATTTTGGCAGCTTATGTAAGTTAACTGAAAGCATTTTATAAAAATATATAGAATTATACAGGGTGTCCCCAAAAAAGTTACACATCAAAGTTGTGTTCTTAATAGAATACCCTATGTATTAATTGATTTTCGGATTCTAGAAAAAAATAAAGGTGAGTTTTATTAAGGAAGCATATACTTGAAATCTAAGGATTTTGACATATTTCACATTTTGTGAAAATGAAGAGTAAATTCTAAATTTCGATAATAGCTACCTAAATTTTAGTTGACCTTGTATATCCCGATATATAATTACAGTAACTATTGTATGTTAAACCAGATTGAAATTTGACCCGAAAAGTTATACAGGGTGAAACAAAATTAATATGGAACATTAGTCACTTTTAAAGGCATATTACTCCTTTGTTTTACCCAGTATATTTTTCCGGTGTTCAATGGGGAATTTATATATCTTCAAAATCATTCTTCATTCATATCTTCATTTTATTATTAAGGTTGCCTACCCCTCAGATAAAGATTTTCCTAGATATTTTATTTTTTATGATTTTGCGTCAGTAGATCTTTATTATTTCAAAAAATCTAGGTGGCTGTGTGATATACCTTTTGTTAATTTAACAAAAATTAAAGATTGTAGAGTAAAATATTCAACGGTAATAAAAAGATACACGTTTAAAACATATTTTAATTATTACAGAATTAAAACTAGATATAAACCTATAATTATGTGACAAAAATTAGCTAGATGAAATCAAATGCTCAAAATGCTTCCTTTCCTGTTAACTGCATAAAATGATTGTCTTTTCAAAAGGATCTTTTTATTTTAAAAGGCATATGTGGAGTTCTGCCTCGAAAAGCAGCTACAATAATTTCTCTCATGTTGTCGACAATAGTTGGTCGAGTTTTGTAAATACTGTCTTTAACATATCCCCAATAAAAAACCAGATTAGATAAAATCAAGAGCATTTAAGTATTCTATTAATTGGCGAATGCACACTGCATTCACCAACTAATAGAATCATATCAATTCTCTCTGATGTAGGATAAATTTGCATATTCGGAAAATTTTTAAGAATTTTTTTTGTTTTAACTGACACAAAATGATAACTAGTTGTTAAAGTCGCACTAATTAGACAGCTATATTGAAGTAACGTCAGACATATCCAAAGACCAAACCAAACCTAGATTTTAGTAATGGTGGCTGTGTTATGTGATCTATGCAAGGCTTTTAATTGCGTGGATCACGAAATTCTCTTACTGAAGCTCGAGAAGTATGGTTTTCGTGGGCGTGCTCTTGCCTGGTTTAGATCATATCTTGAGGGTAGATATCAGTGTGTCATGTGCTCGGGAAAAAAATCCTCGCCGTTAAATGTCTGTTGCGGTGTTCCACAGGACTCTGTTTTGGGGCCTATTTTATTCTTATTATACATTAACGATTTGACAGAACTGCACATCTCTGGATATTTCACACTCTTTGCAGATGACACTTCAATATTATGGCAGGCCAAGGACATTGAGCATCTTAAGGGGAATCATAAGCAAGGACTTATCCTTCATTAAAGAGTGGTTTAACTCAAATCACCTTTGCTTAAATTTATCCAAGATACATGTTGTTGGGCTTAGGTGTGACATCGCAAATCTCCACTTCGAGGGGGGTTTGCTTACAGGAATTCCTGCGACTAGATTCCTAGGAATTATTATTGATGGAAATCTGCGATTTGAAGATCATATTCTGGCCTTAAGTGGCAAGTTGTCTTCTGGATGCTTTGCTGTTAGGGCAATTAGGGAAGAACTGGGTTCACAAGTGGCAAGGACGGTCTATTTTAGTTTGTTTGAGTCTCATCTCCGGTATGGAATACCATTCTGGGGTGTGGCTAATTAGGGTCTGCTAAACATTCTGTTTATTTTACAAAAAGGCCATACCATTTATTGTAAATGTACCACATAACGAATCCTGTAGACAATACTTCAAAGCTCAAAAGATTCTTACTCTACCATCTCTTTTTATTCTGGAAACATCATCCCTTATTTTTAAAAATCGTAACAGACTACAGGGTCCTATACCCAATATTGTTACTCGCCAAACCCTGAATCTGCCCTTGCCACCTTGGTCAAGAGATCTATAATATATGAAGGCCGAAAGGTCTTTAATCATCTGCCGGTTGCTTTAAGATTGGTTAATTCCACAAAAACCTTCCGGAGGCTACTGAAAAGGGAACTTTTAAGTAGGGCATTTTACAGCGTTGACGAATTCTACCGGGACACCCTTGATATTAATATTTAGAATTTAGAAATATTTTATCTTATCTTTATTCTATGTATTGTATCTTATTTTACTTAGTTGTTTAAACCTATTTCCTGAATTTTGTTTGTTTGTTTAAATGGTTGTATTTTGTTCAATCTTATATCTACACAATTTTTTTACTTTTTGTTTTTATATTTACACGCGTTTGTTTGCTTTTTATGGAACTGTTTTTATATGTTAAAATTGCTGGCAATAGATATTTTAGGTTTAGATTTAGGAATATGCTTTGTTAATAAAAATTTATATATTTTTTTAACAATAAAGTACTTTTGAATTGAATTGAATTTATCAAATAATAAAGATCTACTCAGATCAAATCATGTAAATGAAAATATCTAGGAAAATCTTTGTTTGCGGGCTAGGCAACCTTAATAGTACCGTATGATCGAGAAAAAACGGCATCAGCGATGGCTATAAAATGAAGATCGCTGTCATTTTATATGTAAATTTATATGGGAAATGTCATTGATGTTCATTTCCCAGCCAACTGGACGCCGTTTTTTTCGATCATACGGTATTTTGAAGAGATATGAGTTCTCCATTGAATATCGGAATAATATATTGGGTGTTCCATTTAAAATAACATAGTAACATGCTTTTAAAAGCGACCAACGTTCAATATTAATTTTGTCTCACCCTGTATAACTTTTTGGACCAAGTTTTAATTTGGTTTAAAGTACAATAATTAACTTAACTACATATTAGGCTATACCGGGTAAATTTCAATTTAGGTAGCTTTTATTGTAATTTAAAAATTGTTCTTTATTTCTGGAAAATGTTAAGTATGTCAAAAACCTTACTTCAATAGTCATACTTCTCTGATAAAACTCACCTTTATTTTTCACCCAGAATCTAAAAATCAATTAATATATAGGGTGTTCCATTACAAAAAACACAACTTTGATATGTAACATTTTTTTAGGAAACCTGTAGAATTCTCTATATTTTTAAAAAGTGCTCTGAATTAACCTACATATGCTCACAAAATTCCATTTCAATACAAACTGTCGTTCTCCTTGGAGCCGCCGCGGCGTCACCCTGTATAACAATACAATTATATATATAACAATACAATTATATACATAACAATGTGAGCAAGTATTGTGTTTGGATGGTTATCCCCTATACCTTGTATACCCCTATACCTTGTATTCTAGTGAGCACGGTACGCCACACACGGTCTTAGTTGCATGCCTAGTAATCGTCGACGAATAAAGAGGATTACTCGAGCGACCGAGTATTAGTTTTACTTCCTACTCTCAAACTAATAAAGTACGTTGTTTTATTGCATTTTACAGAAGGTAACGTATGTCCCATGATGGTATTCGAGTACATGGAGCACGGCGATCTGGCTGGGGTCCTGCGTAGTCAACATCGATGGTCCGCCGGATCCGATGACAGTCCGCCAACTGTACCTCAATTATCAACGGAAGATCTTCTGGGAGTATCGTTGCAAATAGCCAAAGGCATGGAATATTTGGCATCGCAAAGGTTCGTGCACAGAGACTTGGCCTGCAGGAATTGTCTGGTCGCCCAAGGACCCGTAGTTAAAATCGCCGATTTTGGCATGAGCAGAGATGTATATACATGTGATTATTATAAGGTAAGCATTTATGTATATGTATTTATTAAAAAGTGTAAACCAGCAAAAACATTTTCCGATATGAGCGTGTATTTCTAAGCCGTTATACATTATACTTAGTTATGCGTCATATACAGGGTTGTTCACCACATACGACACGGAGTATTGTAGCTAAATGATTAGATTTTTACAAATTGTAATTTTTGGGTTCGTTGAAGGACTATTAGAGCTACAATTTAAAAATATTTTTACAAGATACAGAGTGTCCCAAATAAATAAAAAATATCAAAGTTGTATTTTTTTAAATGGAACACCCTGTATATTATTACATTTTTAGTTTCTACCACTAAAATAAAGGTAAATTTGATTAAGGTTTATTACACTTAAACCTTACCGTTTTTGGAATATTTTCAATTTTGTGAAATTGCAGTCAAAATTTTAAGGCTTCATTTCTCCAAGGGTAACAAAGTTTTTAATACTAAATTTTTACTGAAGTTTATTTATTGATCAGTTATTGTGTTGCAATAATAAAAATTATACTACCTTATACAGAGGGTCTAAAATTTTATTTTAAATAATTACTAACTTTAAACGGCAATAACTTGTTTAATTTAAATGGAACGCCCTGTATATTTTAGGAGAATCAGATGCATAAGTTAATTGTCTATCAAATTGTATTATACCACTTTTTACCCATCCCTTCAAGTTTTCGTAGAAAATGCATTTTCTTATAATTTAGACCTCATTTATCAATATACCTATGGAATATTGACATTTTAGATTGTTTTTAAAGCAACAAATGTACGAAATGTGCAGGCTTGTAATATTATCGTTTTTAGCAAAACGATAATGTTACTAGCCCATTTGTATGCAAAAAGACAACTATTTAAATCTTTATAAAAGAATATACCATTAATTAAATATACACCATTATTTCCGCCCAAATACTAATTAATTACATACTTAATTATGTTCGTTAATAAATTATTCTAAATAAATGTGGATTTGGAATCAGAAATCAATATAATAATAAGTTATAAAAATGGATGTCTTTGTTGTTATAAATAAGCATTTTTCAAAAATGAAATATCATTTTTAAAGTGTTACTTTTTACCACACTGTCTAATACACATAAAAAATTAAGTTTTTTAGTATTTGGACCAATTACTATTAATCAACGCAAACAGTCAATTAATGTAGTTTGAATACTGGAATCATATTAATTGGTCCTCTTTAACAAATATTTAAACAGTTTTTTTTATTTTTTAATGAAATAAACAAACTATATCGACAATATTAGTATCTGTACTCTTTAAAAATTTGGTACATCTTTAAAAATAATCTAAAATGTCAGTATTCCATGGGTATATTGATAAATGAATTTAAAATTACAAGAAAATGCATTTTCTACGGAAACTTAAAGCGATAGGTAAAAAATGGCGTAATACAATTTGATAGATAATTAAATTGTGCATCTCATAAAATATACAGGGTGTTCTATTTAAATTAAAGAAGTTATTGCCGTTTAAAGCTAGTAATTATTTAAAATAAAATTTTAGACACTCTGTATAAGGTAGTATAATTTTTATTATTGCAACACAATAACTGATCAATACATAAACTTCAGTAAATATTTAGTATTAAAAACTTTGATACCCTTGGAGAAATGAAGCCTTAAAATTTTGACTGCAATTACACAAAATTGAAAATATTTCAAAAACGATAAGGTTTAAGTGTAATAAACCTTTATCAAATTTACCTTTATTTTAATCGTAGAAACTAAAAATGTAATAATATACAGGGTGTTCCATTTAAAAAAATACAACTTTGATATTTTTTATTTATTTGGGACACTCTGTATCTTGTGAAAATATTTTTAAATTGTAGCTCTAATAGTCCTTCAACGAACCCAAAAATTACAATTTGTAAAAATCTAATCGTTTAGCTACAATACTCCGTGTCGTATGTGGTGAACAACCCTGTATATGTTTCTTGTCGTCATCTGAAAAACGTCTTTGAGGCTTGACCGCATCACGTTATAATCATGAATCAATGAATGGTGCTTAGTCAGAATAGGGTTTTCATAAAAGGTTTTGGAAATTTCGGACAATGAAGCTCTGAAATCCGGACAAAATGAGGACTTAGTTGAAAAATAAATTATGAATTTATTTTGGTATGTAAAGTTTAACTAACGAGATAATACCCGAGTAGTAGTAGAATTAGTGGAAGGGAGGTTAATAATTACCGCGACCTTAAAGATCTATTTTGTCCCCCTTTCTTGAGTTATAACTCATCATACAGTCTATTATCTCAGGAGTGGACATTCATCACCATTTCATCCTCCGAGGAGGGGACATCTATCTTCTACGAGGCCACTCTTCCACTTGGCTTAACCACCTGGACCAAGAAGAGACAACCTCACCAAAAACTTAAATCCTACGATGGCGGGACCAGGTCAAAGGGATGCGTGGCTAGATAGAGGACTAGCCATTAGCCTCAACCTTGGGGCAACAGGAGGCTCTCCATTGTATTTACCCCTTACTTCTGCATGCGGGGCTCTGTAGAAGTGGACTGAATATCCCTAGCGACTCGTGGGATCACTATGAGATCTAGTATTAAAAACACCACCGGTGAAGTTGTGGGGAAGCCCCCTAGCGACACTGGGAACATTACAAATGAAAATTCCAAGGGGCCAAATCCAAAAGAAACTACAGGAGGGGCGGCTGACACTTGCTTGGGATAAGCTACCACCTTCTCCAGCAAGGGTCGGGAGCCTACCTCTAGACCCAATAAGCGACATAAGCTACCGTTTCGTCTACCCGACCTGGGTCAACCAGACGAGCTAGACGATTCTCTGAGAGTAGGTCTTAGCGGAGCAGAAGCACAGAGATACCTCCGACTGCTCCACGAAGGACTTGCTCCAGAGGTAGCAAAAGCGAAAACACTCCTCCGAAAAGGGGAGAGTAAAGAAACCTAGAAAAAAACTGACTCATCTCTATCAAAGGGCAAGAGAGGGAGCGAGAGCCTCTCACCTCAATCCGACAGGGAGAGAAAAAAGCCAGGACGGAAAGCCGTCCAACACCGGGAGGCAAGCAGGGACGTATCACCAGCTTTGCCGCTATTGCTGTACAAGTGAAAATGGCGGTGCTGCCAAAGGATTTCCCAGAGGTTGCTCTGACCATCGACCAGCAAACGTCTCTAGAAGAGGCTATACTGGACGAAGTAGTGGCAATCGGATCGCAACACAACGATCTACAAAATGTGGGTCAGCTGTATTTTGCGGGGATACACTTTCGGGTGGACATTATCCTCATAGATTGTGTATCTCAAGAAACGGCGAATTGGTTGGTGGAAATCATCCCTAAAGGGGCGGCCATAACGGTCTTTCTGCCGAGGTGCAAGGGGAAAGACTCCACCTACCTGCTGAGCCTTATCCAAGGTCAGAACTTCAATGTAAGGACATTGAGTTGGCGAGTCATCAACTCGAGGGAGGAGGGTCATGGTCAGGTCCTCACAATAGGAATTGACCTCAAATCCAAGGAGGCAATAGAGAAAGAGGGATATATCCTCTATTATAGATACGGGACAACACCGGTATCAGGTCTAAGGAGAGACCAAGTTAAAGAGGTGGGGAAAATGGAGACAGATCCACCAGCCTCCACCTCACGGGTTCCTCAGCCGGAGGCAAGCTCCTCGACTGCGAAGAGCGGCACGGAGGGCCAAACTCCAACCGTGTAAGGGTGTGTCCCCTCGGATGAAGAACTGTTGTCAGAGCAGGATGGGAAATACCCTGTCCCCTCTACAATAGGGGTATGATGAGTTATAGAGATTGTGTAATGACTCAAGGAAGTGGGGCACAATAGATCTTTAAGGTCGCTCTGATTAAACCCCCTGTACATTCTACATTCATTCTACAACAGGCCATGTCAGGACGTCTGAGGCAAATTGTGTGGACTAACTCCTTCCCCCCATGCAAACAGAGAGCAAAATTAAAATTTATAAGACCTGCATTAGACCAATAATGACGTATGGCATAGAAATACGAGAGGAAACAAATAAAACCAAAAGCATGTTAAGAGTCGCAGAAAAGAAGAACCTAAGATTCCCATAATGGGGAAGAATAGAAGGGACAGAATTAGGAACACAAATGTCAGACAACAATGTGGAATACAGGACGTAGTGAGATAGAGTAGGCAAAGAAAAAGACAACGGTTCGCACACGTAAAATGCATGGAAGAAAACAGGCTGCCACGCATAGCTCTTGAAACACAATATTTGTGTGGATTAATAATATTAAATATACCTTTAACAAAATATAACTCTATATTTATATTGCCTACTTATCTTAATCTGATCTTTGAGAACTTTATTTATATTTTGGCATACGCCTGGTATTATTTTTGAAATGCTTTGCTTGGAAACTTTCAATAAATAACCCAAACTGGTATGTGAGTCTCTAGTTGCAAAGAATCTTAATGTTATGGCCAATCTTTATTTAACACTTTCTTAAACCGGAATACACTTCCTAAAAGTTGTATTTTTCTTCTCTTTAAGTCTCAGTAAATTAAAATCAGTAGCGGACACGCGATACAAAATATTAAAAAACATTCTGTCTGTTTGTAAATCGCGTAGATGTTTATTTTCACTGCGCTGGGATCTACTTTTGAAATTATTAGACATCCAACACCGCCTTTTTTTCTCTTTATCTTCTTCGTTTTGCAATAATGATCGCACTAGCAGCCGCTATTAAAAATACTTACGGTTTGGTTTGGTTAGGTATCGGTTAATACTTCGGTATCATCCATGTTCGAACAGCACGAACGCAAGCATTACATTACAATGTGGACGCCGTTGCTTGCAAACTGGAAGATCTTGAGAAACACGACAAACCGGAGGCGGAAGCAACGCAAGCACAATCAAAAGAAAGAGCGCGAGCAGGATCACGAGCAATGTGGACGCAACTTTACATGATGCGCACGTAATCATAACCAAATAATAACAAAATAATAATATAATAACAA